TTATATATATGTAAATATATATATATATATATATATATATATATTATATGCATTGAAGCCGACAGATGAAAGAACAAGCAAACATACGCATGCATGCACGCATGCATGCAATATGCATGCAAGCATTATAATATGCATGCATGCGGACCATTGTTTGTTTGTTTGGCTGCTTAAAGCAGCAGAAATGAAAGCAGCACTGCGGTGTACGTACACCTTACTACGAATCAAAGTCTTGCTGCTCCCGCATGCGCGGTGGGGCCCGCGGAGGCGTCGGGGGTCGCAGCTCTGTCATCCTCTCATCCCTGCAGCAGCAGCAGCAGCAGCAGCAGCAACAGCAGCAAAAGGAGCAGCTCCGAGCGGTAAATATAAACACCTTTATAAATGTACAACTGTACAAATATATAAATATAAAAGGATAAAAGCATAAAACTATAAATATATATAATAAATATATATACATATCTATACGTAAATAAATAAATAAATATATATATATATATATATATTTATTTATACAAACAAACAAACAAACAAACAAACAAACAAACAATCAAACAAATAAACAAATAAACAAATAAACAAACAAACAAACAAACAAACAAACAAACAAACAAACAAACAAACAAACAAACAAACAAACAATAGATTTTCTGTACTAACCAGGTTATGTACTGAGCCATCGCATTCGCAGGGTAAATTAACTTCGGAATAATTGTTAAGTCTCTGCGGATATATAAAAGAGCGCCGGCATTCTGATGATGATTGCAGTAGTTCGTAGCTGCACGAACATATACACCTCAAAACAAACGCATGCAATAGCTGCCTATACACCCCAACCTTCTCTATACACAAGTCCATCAGAAAAAAAACAAACAGCAGGGAATCAGGGGGGATATTTTATTAGCAACAAAACGTTAGGGTTTAGGGTTTAGGGTTTAGGGTTTAGGGTTTAGGGTTTGGAGTACCCGAAAAAAGAGTTATCAGCTTGCCCCCAGCAAACCGCTCAAAACCATCCATGACGCACTCATGAGCCCTGCAACAAACAACACAAACCCTAAACCCTAAACCCTAAACCCTAAACCCTAGAATCCCTATACACCCTATAATCCGTATGCACCTACCTAGCTCGGTAGAGTCTACTTATCAAGATGTTCACCGACATATATATATATATATACATTTATATATATATATATATACATATATATATATATATAAGGGCTGGCTAGCTGTCTATCTATCTAATTACACAGCTAGCTACCTAAATATTTACATATATATATATATATATATATAGCTAGCTATATAAGGGAGCAGAGATGTCTGAATCATGTAGAGAAATAAGAGAAGGAGAATAGAAGAGAAGACGAGAAGAAAAGAGTTTACCTGATGATAAGAGCAAGGTTATTATCTTTTAAAAACTGTATAACTCTATCAGGACCAAACTTCGCTATGCGCCCCGACCCATCAGGGTCCCTTACTTCGTTGGGCCCAACGCCCAACACCGAGTCCGAGTCACTTGGGTCCGACCATAGTAAATCTGTTACTTGTTGCTCCTAAATAATACACCTCGTATTTATTTATTTATTTATTTATTTATTTGTTAGTTAATTCTATTAATTCATTAGTTAATTAGTTCATTAGTTAATTAATTAATTAATTAGTTAACTAGTTAATTAGTTAATTCTATTAGTCAATTAAATAATTAGTTAACTAGTTAATTAGTTAATTAATTAGTTAATTAATTAATTAGTTAATTAATTAATTAATTAATTATTTCTTTAATGCATTATTACATTCATTCAACAAATTAAACAATTAGCCAACTAAATAAATAAATAAATAAATAAATAAATAAATAATTAATTAATTAATTAATTAATTAATTAATTACCTGTGGAGTTTGAGGTATCTGAGCGACTTTAAGAGGCCGAGGCAGCGCATGCAATTGGTCTAAAGAATGAATAGAGCCGCCGATGCCTCCGTGTATACATAAAATACAGTTATCGATAACCGCAGCAACAGGCATATACTCAAACGCAATATTAAATGCACTCCAGCATGAAGATATATCTAACGGATCTTCTCTTAATCTTCGCTTGCACTCGTCCTGAAAACCATATAATGAGTTTATACCCGGGTCTTCATGATTACCCCTTATTAAATGCAATTGATGACGGTACTTCACCTACACACAAAACCCTAAACCCTAAACCCTAAACCCTAAACCCTAAACCCCAAAACCCTAAACCCTAATCCCTGAGCACTAAATAACTCTAAATAAGTCTAAATAACCCTAAAACCTCACCCTAAAACGTTAACCCTGAACCTGATGAACTTTAAAACCCTAAACCCTAAACCCTAAACCCTAAATAAGCTAAAGTAATGATATTAAAGGATTACTTTGAGTGCAAAGAGGAGACAGATTGTCTCGAGTGAATGGCTCCCTCTGTCTACATAATCGCCGAGAAAGAGATAGTCGGTGCAGTCGATGTCTCCGCAGAGATTTGCTGCTGCTGCTGCTGCTGCTGCACCTGCTCCTTCTAAATCTCTACTTGCATATTTTTCTGCTTCTTCTTCTTCTACAGGCATTTTATATAAATGAAATAGACGCATCAAATCCAAGTACTGACCGTGGATGTCCCCATACACTGCAGCAACAAACAAAACACAAAAAATTATATATATGTATATATATATATATATAATTATATGTATATATAATTATATATATATGTATATATAATTATATATATATATGTATATAAATATATATATAATTATATATATAATTATATGTATATATATAATTATACGTATATATATATATATATATGTATATAACCTTAAACCCTAAACACGTATTAAAGGGGATATATCTTTTTTAATAGAAATGTTCAACGACTATAAAATATAATAAAGAAGAATAATAAATAAATATATCATTATAAGCAATCGTAAACCCTTAAAAAGTTTAGTAAACCCTAATACACACTCATAAACCCTAATAAACAGCCCTAAACCCTAAACCCTAAACCCTAAACCCTAAACCCCCAAACCCTAAACCCTAAACAACACTACATCCTAATAAACGCCATCTCCAATGCACGCATTTCTCCAGTCAATGCATAAACCCTAAACCCTAAACCCTAAACCATAAGCCCTAGGGTTTAGGGTTTATGCATTGATATATAGACACACCCTTTATAGGAGCCCGCAAGTTAAGAACCATCTCCTCCTCCTTGAAGATCTCCGTCACCTGCACGCAGAAACCCTAAACCCTAGTAGAAAAATGTGCTTTACTTCGGGTGTCTCATGAAAACCTTAAGGAGAAACAGCAGCAGCAGCAGCAGCAGCAGCAGATGCGGCAACCTTTCTACCAGCAGCCACAGGACGGCCAAAGGAAGTAATAACGAAAGCAGCCGCAGCAGCAACAGCAGCAGGAAGTCGAAGCAGCAGACGGAGTAACAGCACCAACAGCTGCGCCAGCAAGAAGCACCACCAGCAGCAACAAGAACAGCAACAGCAGCAAGAGCAGCAACAGCAGCTGCAGCACGAGCAGCAGCAAGAGCAGCAGCAGCAGCAAGAGCAGCAGCAGCAGCAGCAGTACCAGGCGACAGAGTTCATTAACATCTGCCCAAGGAATGCAGAAGGGTGCATCCGGTTCGAAGAGAGTCATCAGCTGCTGCTGCGTCAGCAGCGGGCGCAGCAGCAGCTTCACCACCCGATCAGCAAGTGCTGCTGCTCGTGCTGCAGCAGGAGAGAACGGGCCCCCGCTGCTGCTGCTGCTGCAGCAAGCCTTGTTTATCTTCCTACCCTCCTCCTCCAAACGGTCTATCGATATCTATACACAAGCAGCAACAGCAGCAGCAGCAAATGCAACAAGTGCAGCAGCAGTGGTAGGAGCATAGCACAGAACACCCAAGCAGTAATCGCAGCAGCAGCAGCAGCAAGAACAACAAGGAAAACCGCAGCAGCGACAATTCAGCAGCAGCGCAGCAGCACGACTAGCGCCAACCCAGGAACAGCCACACAGCAGCAGCAGCAGCAGCAGCAGCAGCAGCAGCAAGGCATTACCCGTCTAACAAGAGCGGAGAAGTCTCCTCGTTGCTCCTGCACAACTGCTGCATGCGATGCCAGACGAATCTGCAGCCAATACACCGCAGCAGCAGCAGCAGCAGCATGGAGCAACAGCAGCAGCAACGTAAGCAGCAGCAGCAACACCAGCAGAGGCAGAGACCCAGCAGCAGCAGCAGCAGCAACATATGATGAGACACACATCAGCTGCTCTGCTGCCTTGGCGGGAGAGACCCGTTGATTGCCTAGAGAACGTCATAGAGCCCTGCAGCGGATATTGCTGCTGCTGCTGCTGCTGTGCAACGCCAGCAGCTTGCCCTGCTGCTGCTGTAGCTGCGGCCTGCTGCGATGGCAGTGCGCGGCCTCCAAGGCCGCGCTGCTGCTGCACTTGCTGCTGCGGCACTTGCTGCTGTTGCTGCACTTGCTGCTGCTGCTGCGCTGCTGCTGTGATGGCTAACGCCTGCTGTCTCTGCAGCGCGGCCTTCGCTCTCTGCTCTTCCCGCTCAACTTCACTATAAAAGCAGGGGATTTCTGAGGAGACAGCAGCAGCAGCAGCAGCAGCAGCACAAGCAGCAGCAGCAGCAGCAGCAGCAGCGGCACAAGCAGCAAATGGAGCAGCAACAGTCCATGCACGACCCAGTGAGCAGAGGGCAGCAGCAAAAGGCAGCATCGAACCACAAGTCGTTTCATACAGCAGTAGCAGCAGCAGATGCTGCGGCAGCAGATGCTGCAGCAGTAGAAGCACAAGCAGCAGAAGCTGCAGCAGCAGCAGCAGCAGCAACTCACGAGAGCAATCCATGAAGAGAAGCTCAGCTGTGGGGTGCTGCTGCGTTGAGTGGCTGAAGCCGCCAAATGTAAAAATCGTATTACGCAGAGCCCAGCTGCTGTGACGGAACTGCAGCAGCAGCAGCGGCAGCAGCAGAAGCAGCAGCAGCAGCAGCAAAAGCAGCAGTAGCCCATGAGGCCAGTCCATGAAAGAAGCAGCAGCAATGACAGGAGCAGCAACAGCAGCAGCACGAAACGGAGCACGCTACATACCCGCAAAACGACACGCACTAAAGCACCAGCAGCAGCAGCAGATAGACAGAAGCAGCAGCAGCAGCAGCAGCAGCAGCAGACGTACTCTCCCCATGCTTGGTAGCAGTCTCCACTCCACAGTCTCCGTATCATACACCGCAGTAGAGAGAGGCCTGAAGGCAAATAAAATGCATATTGATTGCTGCTGCTGCTGCTGCTGCTGTTGCTGCTGCTGCTGGCGCCACTACTGCGGTCGCTGCTGCTGCTCGCGGTGCTGCTGCTGCTGTTGCTACCAGCACTGCGGCAGCTGCAGCAGCAGCCTCAGCTCCACCAGCAGCAGCATCCACAGCAGCAGCAGCGGCAACATCTGCAGCAGCAGCAGCTGCTGCTGCAGATGTTGCTGCTGCGGCTGCTGCAGATGTTGCTGCTGCTGCTGATGTTGTTGCTGCTGCTGCTGCTGCAGTGACGCATACTTTGAGCAGTCTCCATCCGTTCTGCCGCCGATGACAACCATCTTCGAGTCCAAGAAGACAACAGCTGCAACACCCCCAAGCCCAAAACCCTAAACCCTAAACCCTAAACCCTAAACCCTAATCCCAATTTCTGCTCTTCTTGTTCATTGTTCTTTATCAATCTTCATTGCTGTTGATTATTATTTATTCTTAAGTGATGTTTTGTTATATTTGTTTATTTACGCGTTATATATATTTAATAAAATAATAAAAGTATTATAATATATAAAACGATTATATATTATTATTTATTATTTACTATTTATTATTGATTAATTAATTATTATTATTATTTGATACGAGTAAGAAGGTAAGCATAAAGAGAGATACAATATTGAAACCCATGTTGTGTAAGTGTATATATAGGGTTTAGGGTTTAGGGTTTAGGGTTTAGAGTGTATAGGGTATAAATATATCAAAAAAAAGATCAGAAAAAACAGCAAAAACAGCAGAATATACGAACTGCAATATTCTGCGACTTAAGATGACAATGTGTGTAAAGAAAGGCCAGAAAAGTATCAGAAAAAAAGCATACAATGTTGAAACCGCGGCTCAGGTAAAGCCTGCTTCTTAGCTGGAGCCTCTACCCAGTCCCAGCGGCCGTCTCTGTGCTGCCTCAAACCCCAGGCGTCCGCTAAACTTTTGCTGCAAATGTCCCGCCCTCCGAATATCACCAACATGCCGCTCGCTGGGCCCTCCCGACATACCTGACAAACATTGCCTTTATATCATACAATTTATAATGTTTATCTGTTTATATATATATATATATATATTTGTTTATATATATGTTTATATATATATATATATGTGTATATATATTAATATATGAATGTAGGGATGTACAGAAGATAAATATATATAAATACATATATATATATATATAGATGTATATATAGATGTATAT